GTAGTAGTAATAATAATAATAAAAAAAAATGTGGACAACGAAGCAGTTATTTTCACTCAATTATATTTTTTTGAGCAAACACTCAATTATATGGCGGTGCCCTATTTGTCGCTCTTTGCAACGAAGTGGGCAATCACACAAGACCACCACACCGAGCCACAGAATCGGCGGCTATTTTTTATCGGCTTTCCAAGGCTTTATTTTTATTTTTATTCCTTTCCCTTTTTTTCTGAATTTTTCCTATTTTCCCAAATTTTCTTCCCAATGTACTTTGAAAAAAATATTCTCAACATTTTCATAATTTTTTGTGGTTTTTAAAAAATGTTCATACTTCTAAAAAAATGTTCACAACTTTTCAAGATAATTGTTCACATACATTCTAAACACATTCACATTCTTCAGAAAATGTTCTTTATTTTTTTTACAAACCCATCGATTATCATCAGAGCGGCAACTAAACCATGCTTCACATTTTGCAACGGTGAATATGCGATCAGCTCCCTAGACAACAAAGAGATAGAGATTGAATCACTCCACTCCAGAATTTTTGCATGTCTCGCCATTAAGATCTGTGCTATTATTTGATGTCCTGAAATCTCGAGAAGATCGACTCCTTTTGGTCGATCGTTAATTTGTAAGTAGGGTAATATACAACTAAATGTGCTTTGAAGAACGTAAGATCTTAGTATTTATTATGGATATCAGGAGAGATTTGCCTCCATCAATGTATTGAAGTAGGGAAAATTGATTTTCCACTTTGTTTTGGTAAGCTAATCTAAAATACAAGGGACGTATCTTGCAGTTTGAGGGGCCTTTAGGAGATGCAAGATGGGCCTCCAAAAAATAAAAATTGCGGATAGCAAAGCATGTGTTTTTCACTGAACTATATGATTCCCTCATCCTAGAAAACTGAAAACATGACAAAAAATTAGGAAAGAAACACGTTCCTTCTTGTTTGAGAAACCTAGTAAAGACGCAGACGTTCGGTACATGAATTTTATACCTAGCAACACACCAATAAGAGGAAATAAACACCTTCCTACTGCACGACTTACAATACATTGAATCTAGTTAGGCCAAACCCCGGCACAACGACGCAAAATAAAAGGACGTTGTGCGTAGGATCCATCCATCCTTGATTATTTTGTTAAGTGGATTTGCAGATGCAGAGGCCTGGGTTCAATCATCCTTTATCCAAAGAAAATGTAGGGTTTGAGAATTTGCATTACATGATCGACAGACCATTTTGATTCGCGCGATTCCAATGGCGAGAGAAAAAGAAAAAAGAACAGGAGATTGCAAACCATGCTCACTCATATCGTGTAGGATTTTGTTTGCACCGAAGTCTGTTTGATTGCAATACACGCAAACAAAAAACACTTTTTGAAAGGTTTCAGTGGATAGAGATTTTTCTTATGAAATATTGTACAAAATATCCTCAGGACAATTTCTTATAGTACTCAATCCTAACAAGCCATGTAGAAAGCATTTCCCTCCATAATTCATATACTCCCTCCGTTCCTAAATATTTGTCTTTTTAGAGATTTCAGTGGACTATCAGATACGGATGTATATAGACATATTTTAGAGTGTAGATTCACTTATTTTACTCCGTATGTAGTCACTTGTTGAAATCTCTAGAAAGACAAATATTTAGGAACGGAGGGAGTAAAAGAATACTTGGAATCTAAGAGGCTTAAGATATTTAGACGACCAACTTGGTCGAAAGAATGCTCAAGGTGCCAATCAATCGAATCCCACAAGTGAAGTGAAATAAAGATGGAAAAACACTTACGAAAACAAACTGAGGAGACTGTAAGAAGATAAAACCATTTTTTTTAAGATGAAGAGGTCAAGAAGAGAAAACCCTTTGCCCATAAGAAGCAGGTGTGAAATGGTGAACCGTACAACATCTGCGCAGTTACGGTGGCAAAATTTTTGCTAGTGGAAGACTGCATCGCATCACATCGCATCAACCGCGGGCGATCGGGTGAGTAAATGCTGGCAAGAAGCATGTCATAAACGGCATTCAGAGAGGCAGTGGCGCCTGAGCTCATTGGGCACACAAGATCGCCAAGTACAAATTGTCAGCCACCGGCAGTCTGACCCTGTCACGAAGTTAGAGACACCATAAAAAAAGTCAGGCACCGCCTAGCTTTGCCATGGCGATCAAGGAGACACAGTGCAACAGTGACAGTTTGGTGCCTGAAGGCTGGTGGCCTTGCTAAAACCCAATTAAGCAACACATCAGCGTGACACCGTGGCACTTAACTGTAAGTCCAAAGCTGAACCCAAATACAGATTCTCAAAAAATCGCATTTTAGAATATTTAGCTGAGAGAGAGAGAAGAGAGAGAGACAGTTCTCAAGTTTAAGCAGTCGCTTTCAGTGAAGAGTACGGAGTAGGCAGACCAGGATAATGATTGGGAGATCATGCGGTTTGGACTCATTACCCAACACAGCCTCTTTCTTTGCAAGTCTTTTCTTTCCATTTAACCAAGCTGCGTCATGTGCTAGCTAGGAGCAGGACATCAGCACACCGTTCTCTCAGGTTTCAGCATGGATTTCTGAAGCACTTACTACATGACAGTCAAATGCCCCTGACTCGGGTTTGCTGCTAACCTTACCTTAACCTGGGTTTGTTCTGCTGCTAACCCTACCTTAGCTTAACCACCTGAGTCTGGAGAGACTGGCATAGGGTTCCTGCTCAACTGATTTTGGCCGGCCTATTTCTGCATCTCTGTCTTCATGCCGAGTTTGACTGTGAGCAGCAGCACGGCCAAATGCTTATCCAAATGCTGTTTAGATAAAAAAGTTAAAAACAAGGGAGATAAGTGTACTCATGCTACCAAACTGATTTTGGCCAGCCAATTTCTGCATCTGTCTTCATGCTGAGTTTGAGTGTGAGCAGCAGCACTTCCAAAATGCTGTTTAGATAAAAACAAGGGAGATTAGTGTACTGATGCTACCAAACTGAACAGTTTCTTGCTTTCTGTACTGGTGCTACCAAACTGACCTAGGGAGGGGCAGGTTTTTGCTTTCTGTCAGATGGAGACGAGCAAGTGCTGCTGGACATATCTGGAATGTGGTTGTGGCAAAAACTAACCACTCAACATATAAACAGAGCAGAGTATGCATGGCTCCAAATAAAGAAAAGAACGCATGAACAGAGTATATCTACTGTTCTAGCAATGCAGAGAGTTCAAAACAAGATGCAGCAATGCTTCAGAGAAACAAAAGATGCAGCAACAGAAAAGGATATAAATTGACGACTATGACTGAAATGAAAAGTTGATGAAGATTCTACAATAGTCCCCATTTCTGCCGGCCTGCAACCAAGATCTGAGGTTCTTCTGCAGCACAACAGAACTGGCTTCGACACTCAACAACAGAACAGATACGGGAGCAGAACAGGAGAAATCCTTGAACCATATCCCGATGATAAGCCAACCAAGGAAACACCCCACAACATACACTGTATTAGGGTTTGACTGACTCACATTACATGATACACGATCAATTGCCAAGGCATTGACGAACTGGAACTATTCAACCCTGAATCTATCTATCGACTCTGATGACATGACGCACTTCGACTTCAACCTCAACTCTGACGAACCATCTCTTGCTCGACCCACAATTCCCGGCAGGAAATCCATCTCTTGCTCCGAATCGCGACTCCCTCAGAATCCCCCTTTCTGCACCAATCCAGCGCCGAATCAGCGTCCGGAACGAACAGGAACAAGTGCCAGATGGACCAAAGATTGAAATTTTTTATTTGGAGAATGCTTACCTCGTTCACCTTGTAGCGATCGCGGTTCACCTCCGAGAGAAACTCGCCGGGGGAGATGGACTGCGGGAGAAGAAGACAAGATGAGAGGTGAGTAATCGGAGGAGGGAAAGGGAGGATTTCGCGAGCGCGATCGAGGAATTTTTTTGGGGGCGTGTCTTGCTTACGCACGTTGATTTGGCGCTGGACGGCCTTGGGCCGCCTCTTGTACCGGCGCGGCGGCTTCTTGCCGGTCATCGCGAGGAAGTCCGCCTCGATCTCCTGCTTGGTGAGCTCCACCGAGAACCCGGCGCTAATCCTGCCGCCGGAGGAGGAGCCGCCGCCGTCCATGTTCCAGAGCTTCCTGTGCTCCTGCGCGTCCTCCGCGCCGTCCCGGCCGCCCCTCCGGTCCCTCAGCTGGTAGTACTGCTTCCGGGCAGATTCCTCCGCCGCGGCGCCCTCGTCGGCCGGAGGGGCGTGCTTAGCCTCCCCCGGCGCCGCCACGGGGGCGGCTTTCGGCGGGGATCGGGAGCTGTTGCGCAGCGCCTCGTCGCCCGCCGCCGCCGCCGCCGCCGCAGGGGGGCTGGACTCGGGGTCCTTGCAGAAGGCCATGGGCCGGCGGTACCCCCAGGAGGCCGGGAGGTCGAAGCCGACGAGGAGGCGATTGTCCCTCGATCGCGACGACGAAGCGGGGGACGGCGCCGGCATTGCTGACGCGGGCGTCGGCGAGGACTCCATCGGCGCGAGACGACAAGGAGGAAGGAGGGAGGGAGGAAGGGGATTAAAGGGGGCAGCAAATGTGTTGCGGAGGTTCTAGTCTGGCAATTGCTTGCATGCGCCGTCTATATATAGCAAAACTCCGAGGAGCGAACGCTCGCTGTGGTTTTCTTTTCTTGTGGGTTTGGGCTCGACGCCGGCGTGTGCCGCCCGCAGGAGTCCGTCCGGGCGCGTGTGTGTGGGGCATGGGCTCTCCCTCCCTCGTGATCCAACTGTGGAGGGCCGTCGGATCTTAGATCCGACGGCACCGTGCAGCGTTCCCGATTTACTTAGTATTTTCATATCTATTGTCTTATTTATTTATTGAAAATAAATAATTTGGAACACATCCGTACCTTTGGAAGATATTTAAGGAATGACTAAATGAATGGACATAAATATCGGAATATCTAACACAACGCGTGTGGTATCACCCGCAACGCCCAGCTATCCGGCGATGTGCTGGAGGGTGGCGTGTTGGGCCAACGGCTGGCCGCTGCCACGCCACGCAAGCTGGCTGCCAGGCGATGTGCTCGAGGGTCACGCGTTGGATCAACAGCTGGCTGCTGGCACGTCACGCCATGCCAGATGGCTGCCCGACCAGGTGATGTGCTGGAGAGCCGCACGTTAGCCAACGACTTGCTCCTGGCACGTCACGCAACGCCAGCTGGCTGCCTGATCTGGCGATGTGGGTGGCGTGTTCGGCCAACGGCTAGCTCCTGACACATCACACAACGCTAGCTAGCTACCTGATCGGGCAATGTGCTCGAGGGTCACGCGTTGGATCAACAGCTGGCTGCTGGCACGTCACGCCATGCCAGCTGGCTGCCTGACCAGGCGATGTGCTGGAGAGCCGCACGTTGAGCCAACAACTCGCTCCTGGCACGTCACGCAACGCCAGCTGGATACCTGATCTGGCGATGTGGGTGCACGTTCGGCCAACGAGTAGCTCCTGACACATCACACAATGCTAGCTGGCCTCCTGATCGGGCAATGTGCTGGAGGGTCGCGCGTTGGGCTAACGGTTGCGCGTTGGGCTAACGGTTGGCTCGTGGCACGTCACGCAATGCCAGCTAGCCGCGCTGATCTGACAATGTATTGGGGGCACGCACGTTGGGGCAACGGATGACTGCACACATGTCATGCCATGCCCTGCCGATCGCCTGATCTGGTGATGTGCTGGAGAGAGCTGGCTCAATGCACCGCACGTTGGGCCAACAGACAGCTCCTGGCACGTGTTGCAAGGCCCAAGCAATCGCGTGATCCGGTGATGTGCTGGAGTGGAGTCACTACAAGAAATATGTCAACTTGTGACCTTGACTATTGGTCACTGAAAGGTCATGGTTTTTCATTTGCGACCTTTTTGTGACCAAAAAGAGAAGGTCAAAAGCTGGCGGTCGTAAACTAACTATAGCGACCTTTCTTCTGGAATGGTCGAATACGTTTATGACCAAAATATGTCCACTCTGGCGTTTTGGTCACTAGCAACCTCTCCAGGCCATGTAGGCATCCAGCGTGGTAAGCTGACGTGGCACAAGATTCAGCCCGGTCCAATTGGGTGTTTTACATGGGCCGAGCCCATTAATTCAGCCTTTCTATATATTTTTTTCCTGTCAATTTTTTGTCAGACTTCATGGGCCAAGCCCAACAATTCAGTTTTTTATTTATTTCTTGGTCATGGCCTTTTAACATTTGTTTGGGCCTAGGCCATTATATTTGGTTGCTGGTCCCACCAATCAGATGGATACCACTTGTCATAATCTCACACATTAGACCCACGTGACAGAAAATTCAAAAGTGATTTCATAAGTGGGCTCCATGAGTCAGGTTCCATTTCACACGCTTTGAAACCACATAATGAATATTTCAAATAGAACATGACAAATGTAGTTCGTCAAAGAAGGATAAATAAGTCAACTACAATCTGTACACAGTCTATTACAATATTATTCAAATCTTTCCAGTCTATTACACATAAGACAGAACATATAACTCTTTGCTACACGGCTTAGAACTTCAAATATACTTCCTAGTTCACTTTGCTGGAGCTCTTGTAAATGAGAGGAAACACCATTTTCGGGTATGTTTGTAGAGGCTGAACCAAGGCATCTAACAATAAACCAAAAGAGTTAGAAACAAAATAAAAAAATATACAAAGCAGATAGGGACTAAATCCTGAAGTATATGTACAACAGAATATAACCACACGTCACCTCTATCTATTCTGTGTGTATAAGTAAAGAAAATTATGTACCAATAATTATATTATGGGACGGAGGGAGTAGTACATATGATTACTTTCAGGTTATAATTTTTCTTCACCTACAGTCTACTCCTATATTCAGGGAACCTTAGTCAGGTATCACTAGTGAGCACAGAACAAAACAAAACAAAATAAAGGTGTTGGCTATATAAGTGAAGACTATTCACGACTTTTTAGAACGTACAATAAACCAACAAGGACATACAAGTTGCAAATAATCAAAACTTAGTAGCCACTGAACCTTGCAAAACACATATTGTGGCATAGTTCATTGAAAAGAAAGATGATCGCAATAACAATTAACAAGATTGTGGTGGCCAGAAGACCACCACCACAGATGCATCTTAACAAGATTGTGATCGCAATAACAATAACAATTAACAAGATTGTGATGTACGCTATCAGGGAAGAGGGGTAGGGAGATGGAGGAGCTACCTGCCGCGGTCGCAATGGAAGCAGAGGAGCAGACCCCTCCTGCCCCTCCCCCACGAGCAGGACAGGGCTGCCGGCTGGGCATGCCCCTACTCCTCCACCTCCTTGATCAGGAGACCCCCTTCCCCTACTGCTGCTTGGCACGCCGCATCACTAGTCACCTCCTCATGCAAGAAGTACACAATAAATAGACAGACGGTCAGTGAGGTACATTTTCACAGCAACATAAGCTGAAAATTAACAGAAATACACACATCAAATGAAGTCACTAAGATACTTAAGTGCACCACATGGTGTAGAATTATGTGGTATATAATTGCAACACATGAACCAAAAGAGGAATAACATCATCACCAAGAATTTCTGATGATAAGCATAGCTCCCTACAAAAAAAGAACTAGGGGCACAGTGACTAAAGCATGCAGACCACAATATTCAAAGTAGAAGCAAGCGGGCAGTATGAGCTACCTACTGGCAAAGTATAAAACCTGAATCATATAGTATAAATGAATCAAGAAAACAAGAGAAACCCTGAACCTGAAAGCTCAGGCTGCTACTTATTTTGTTACTGTGTGGTAAGTACTACTAAGATCAAAATGCATTCAAGGGATCATAAAAGCCATCCCCATTTGAAGCATGTACAGTCTACAGAGATACTAACAGGTGAACAGACAACCCCTAGAAATTGGCTAACTACTTCTACTGTATAATATGCAGTCTACAGAGATACTAACTACTTCTACTGTATAATCACAGTCTGCAGTCACTAAATAAATCAAAGGTGTATGATGGAAATACAGCAAAATAGTCCAGTTAACTTGTCGATTAAGAGACTAATGAAACCAGTCACTCTAAGCATACTAGAGCTTCAAACCAGTTCATTTAGTTGAACTAAAGAGGGTCACAGAATACCCTAAAGGGTGCCCATTTGCACTCCTACACTCGAACACACACACACACACACACTATGGATAATTTTGAGATTCACATGCACATTCAGTAAATTCAGTGAAATTCAGTAAACATGGAGTACATAAGAGAGGTTCAGACTTCAAACCAGTTCATTTAGTTGAACTAAAGAGGGTCACAGAATACCCTAAAGGGTGCCCATTTGTCCATGTTTCAGACACATGCTACAACAACATAATGAACCTAATACCGTCAGCACTCAGCAGGCAACACAAGTCAGTACATCAAATTACAGGGAGGAGACGTACGTGGTGCCCAAGTTTAGCTATTCAAGGCTTCAAGAAATAACAGCAACATGAAGTAGAGTCTGCAGTTTCAGACTTGCTGCAGTCCAGTCACATGTGTGACACTATCTCGACCCTAAATATCCCCTGAACAAGCAAGCGGGGTCTAATACACACACGACAAGTCTCACAACTCCATAAACAGTGGCACAGAACTAGATATCACAGAAGGTATATAGCTCAATTTAGTTTGTTTAAATCTTATGCATGCCACCGAAACAGACAACCGGAGAAGTTCGACCCAACAACTCACCATGGCCTCAGCGGGGGTGAACTTGGCGTGGATGACACCAGTGTTTCCGTGGGAGAGGGAGACCTTGCCCCAGATGTAGTGGTAGTTGGTGTCGTTGCTTGGTCTTGGCCTTGTAGACGCAGGCCATCCTCTTGCTGCCGTACCAGGCCACGTCCTCCCTGGTGTTCACTTGGATCTGCCTGGATCTGCGCGCCCAACCAAGACCAGGAATTCAGATACCCACGCGAGGGAGAAGGAGCAGAGTCGCGCCGGCGGAGGGAGCTTCTCACCTCTTGTATCCGAGGATGGTGCCGCGGACGTAGAGCCTCACGCGCTGGCCGGTGCATCCCTTCACCATCTTGCTGCTGCAGCGCCGCCGGGGAGGGGAGCTGAGGTTCACCATCTTCCTGGAAACCGCCGCCGCCTCCGTCCCCATAGACGAGGCGAACATGGCCCCACCGTCTTGGATGGCCTGCACAAACCCGCACAAACGCAATGAGATTCGAGCAAGCTGAAGAAATCTAGAAGGAGGAGGAGAAGAAAGGGGGGGGCAATACCAGATCTCACCTGCACGCGCCGCCTGCGAGGTGGCCATAGCGTCGATCTAGGGTTTTGACATGGAGAGAAGGAGAGGGTGGAGTGGAAGGAGAGTGTGGAGTCGAAGGAGGAGGCGAATGGCGGGACGGACCGAGCGAGGCGGGGACGGCGTCGCGTGCGTGCGTGCTCCGATGCGGCGGCGGCGGCGGTGGAGCAGAGAGCCCCGCGGGCAAGGGAGGCAGAGGAGCATCGGAGGAGGACCTCAGGCTTCACTTCTATCGTGCGCGGGCGTGGAGTGGCGGCGATGTGAGAGCCCCGCAGGACGCGAGGTTGGTCGAGGAC